GAGGTGGGCCGCTGTCAGCCTGCATGACAACTACCCACCGCGCCTGCGTGGGGACTCAAGGCAGGCCCAGGGCTGTGGGTTGAGTCAAGCGTCAGGTCCACTGCCGCTTTCCCTGCATCCACACGTCAAACCTCAGAAAAGACTCTGATTGGCCTTGCTTGGGTCATGTGTTCATCCACGAACCAATCACAACGGCCAGAGCTTAGGGGCACCGTTCTGGAACCTGTGTTCACCCCTAGAGGGTGCAGAGAGTAAAAAAAGTCCTGCAAGAACCCAGGGACTGGGTTCTCCACAGGAAAGCGAGGATCACTAGCAGCGCAAGCTACTTCGGTGGATTCCAAGAGTTCAAGTCATTGTTTGCTGCCACATACTCTGGGCAGCAGCATTTCATTCTAGAATGTGTAGGGCTTTCTTAAGCTTTTCACCCCAGGGTGATGCCATTTTCTATATACTGTGTATTTCCTTTGGTTAGCTCTTCGTTCAAATACACATCTTTTTGGGGGGGGTTTGGGGTCTGGTTCTGTTGCCCAGGCTGAAGTGTAATGGCATGATCACGGTTCATTGCAGCCTTGACTTCCCAGGCATGGGTGATCTTCCACCTCAGCCTCCTGAGTAGCTATAACTACAGGCACATGTCACCACACCCATCTAATTTTTTTTTTTTTTTTAGTCAGAGTCTCACTCTGTCGCCCAGGCTGGAGTGCAGTGGCACACTCACGGCCACCGCACCCTCGACCTGAGTTCAGGTGATCCTTCTGTCTCAGCCTTCCAAGTAGCTGGAACTACAGGTGCTGTTACCATGCCCAGCTTATTTTTCTATTTATTGTAGAGAGGAGTTCTCACCAAGTTGCCTAGGCTGGTCTTGAACCCTTGAGCTCAGGCAATCCTCTCACCTTGGCCTCCCAAAGTTCTGGGATTACAGGTGTGAGCCAACGTGTCTAGCCCCCATTTTTTTTCCTTTGGTACATACAAGGTCTTGCTATGTTGCCCAGGATGGTCTTGAACTACTGGGCTCAAGCACTGCTCCTGGTTCAGCCTCCCAAAGTGTTGGGATTACAGGTGTGAGCCACCATTCCCCACCCAAATTTGTTTTAGTTAGGCTCTTTTGGTTCCTTTTGTAACATGCATCACATGCTGCTTGAAATTACACACTCCAAGTTCATCTCCACTTCAAAAGAGCTTAAAAACCAGGGATGGGTTTATTGTTGTTGTTCCCAATTTCACACTCAGTGCCTGACACACTACAGACGCCCCCAATTTTTTTATTGAATAAGCAAGTAAGCAGGTTTTGAAAGAGAAAAGATAATGAGTTGAATTTTGAACATGTTGTATTTGGCAAAAACTATGGCTAACCTCAGTGCCCAGAGACACTCATACCTCAAATTTAAATTGTATATTGGCAATGATTGGAGATTTGTAAAATTATAGACACATAGAATCCCAGCATCTTAGAGTCATTGAACTTGGGTTCCCCAGAGCCAGAGGGAATGACAGAGCACGGATGCTTAACCTAATGAGATTGGGACAGAGATATAACCACTTTGAAATTTATGTAACGCTTGTGTGAAGGTGCATCCCCCCCCTCTTGAGTTGGAGTCTCACTCTATGCCCAGACTAGACTGCAGTAACATGCTCATGGCCACTGCAGCCTCAACCTGCGGGGCTCCAGGGATCCTTCCACCTCAGCCTTCCAAGTAGCTGGAACTACAGGCATGCACCACCATGTCTGGCTTATTTTTTTGATGCATTGGAGAGACAAGGTCTCGCCAGGTTGCCCAGGCTGGTCTCGAACCCCTGGGTCAGTCAATCCTCTCACCTCCACCCCCCAAAGAGCTGGGATTACAGGTGTGAACCACTACACCCGGCATCTTTTAAACTTAATTTTACTTCTGAAAATGTTTTAAATAAAATATGTACACAGATAAACAAGAATTCATATACATGAATACTCATTGTGATATTGTGTATAATATTTTGAAATTTGAAAAAACCCTAATTGTCCATCAGTTATGAAGTAGTAAAACAAATTATAGTTTAACTCTACCATGAAATACACCATGTTGCTCTTTTATTTTGAGTAGGAGTCATACTCTGTCACCCAAGCTGGAGTGCAGTAGCTTGCTCACAGCCACTGCAGCCTCGACCTGCTTGGCTCAGGTGATCCTTCCACTTCAGCCTTCCAAGGAACTGGAACTACAGGCATGTGCCACCACATCCAGCTGATTTTGTGATTTATTGTAGAGATGAGGCCTTGCCAAGTTGCCCAGGCGGGTCTCAAACCCCTGAGCTCAGGCAATCCTCTCGCCTTGGCCTCCCAAAGTGCTGGGATTACAGGCATGAGCCACTGCACCCTCTCACCATGTTGCTATTATAACGAACAAGGTAGATACATATGCACTGCCCTGGAAGGGAGTCCATGATAAACTGTTTCCTAGGGGAAAAAAGGTTACAGAATACAATGTTTCCTTTTCTTTTTTGGGGGGGGAAGTGCCATTAAAAAACAAAATAGGCTTCATACAGAAAACTATGCATGTATATGTACATTTAAATATTATCTGTATATGCATAGAATAAGGTTCAAAGAACACTGCTCTCCCTGGTCATCCTCTCCCCACTGGCAGATGTGCTTAAGAGTGGGAAGAGAGCCGAACTCGGTGGCTCAGCCTGTAATCCCGCGCTTTGAGAGGCTGAGGTGAGTGAATTGCCTGATCCCACGGGTTCGAGACCTGCCTGAGCAACTTGGTGAGACCTCATCTCTACAGTAAAAAAAAAAAAAATCAGCCGGGCGTGGTAGCGCATGCCTGTAATTCCGGCTACTCGGA